CTGTGGAAATTAACATGTAATTCTAGAAGAAAGGAAACCCTAGGAAAGGCCTGGGGTGAGTCCTGGCTTCTTTTTTTCAGTTTGTCAGCAACTCTCCAGAGCACGGTAAGCAACCATAGAAAACAAAGGTAAAATGGGAGGGGACACAAACCCAGAAACAAGTCCTTGCCCGAATATGTGCAGGAGATGGCAGGGCATTGTGTCACATGTTTGTAATACCAGTCACTTTAGAGGCTGAGGCAAGAGGATCCCAAGTTCAAGGCCAGCCCTAAGCAACTTAGTGAGACCCTGTTTCAAAAYAAGGTTTGGGGATGTAGCTCAGTGCTTAAACCAAAAACAAAAATMTAATTTAGGAAATGAAAGCAGCATCTTCCTGAGTCAAAGGGTTGAGACTCCTCAGGCTGGTGGTAGGAATTCAAGGAATGGTGTAATGAGGGAAATTTGCTGGACATTGGGAAAGCATCATCCCAATTCTATACCCCTCCGGTTCTCCCAATGCATTCTGTGCCCCCCCCACCAGACTGCAACTGAAAGTCACTRAGTAGGAAGTAGCTGGTGACAGAAATAGTCCCTATCTTGATTGGGGTGGCAGCTACAGAATCATAACTACATGTCAAAATTCATAGAACTATACACCTAAAAACAGCAAATTTTACCATATGCAAATTAGATCTGAATAAAAATAGATTTAAAAGGAATCACAGTCTGTTCAGAATGGCTATAGAAAGACTAATGTAAATGATCTCTCTCTCTCTCTCTCTTTCTCTCTCTCTCTCACACACACACACACACACACACACACACACACACACACACATACAATCTCGGTAACACTCCAGGTTCCTCTTCATCTGTGATTTGGTGAGCTTTGCTCCTCTGAGCCAGGCAGAAGGCCCTTTGGGAGTCATTGAGCACCTTTGTTGAATATTGTTGTTCTGCCCTCTCCAGAGGGCCACGATGCTTTCCAGGAGTCATGCAAAGCTGCCAAGTGGGAGAGCTGGGACTTGTCCCTGATCTATTCTCTCACCTTCTCTGGTATATGTCCATTCTGTGACAGCAATGACCTGGGGCAGCCTTCTGCTGTTAGACATTAAGTCAATCCCATTAGGCTGGGAACTCTGATTTTCAGTGGATTCAAAGTTAATGAAGTTTTTWAAAAATGACATCATTCTGCTAATCCCTTCGGAAAAGTGGAGACACCTGTGCCCCAATTGTGCAAGGATACAAGACCCCATGAGGGACTTTTCTTGCCACATAGACCCAAATCTCTCACTTGAGGTTTTTTTTTTTTTTTAATGTGTGTGGTGCTGGGATTGAACTGAGATCCTTGTGCATGTGAGGCAAGCACTCTACCAACTGAGCTATATCCCCAGCCCTCTCACTAGAGTTTGTCACTGCTGTTCCTTGGCTCTTGGGACAAAGTACTAAATCCTTAAGATGCTGCTGGACAGACTTTTCCCCCTTTGTATCTGCCAGCACCTCCAGATGAACCAGCATCGCCAGCTACTGTTGAGTCTGTTTCAGTTACATGAAGACATTTTAATAGTTCCCACTGCAGGTCCTTTGCATATGCTGCTCCCTCTGCTTAGAATCTTGCACTGCACATCCTTCCTCTCCTTGTTAATTCCCACATGTTCTTTGAAGGAGGGTGTTTCCAGCGACCTTCTCCAGGGATACCTGCTCTGATACCAGGGAAGTCTTTATTATATCATTTCATAAAAGCCAGATTCCTTTCCTGTATCTGTTTTACTTCAGCTAAGAATGGAATTGTACCTTCACTTCCGTGGTCATTTGATGAATGCCTACCTTTTACACTAGTCTCCACACTCCATAATGTCTGGGCTCCTGCCTCTGTAGATTCATTGTGTTATCTTGAAGTTGATTACCTTGCCTGAGAGAAGTACTTGGCTCACTGTCCAAGGGCACCCCGATCTGCACACAGAACTACAGAGCGAAGTTTTCAGATTCAGGGTGTTATCTTGACTATCATATAGAGGTGTCACAGCCAACACAGCCTTAAGATTCTGACATTTGAGCTTAAGAAATTTGAAACTATGTTGACACATCCTTAGGAATGATAAAGTGAAAAATGGGGGTGATTCATAACCTATAACTCATCAGAGAAGAGTTTCAGTGCTGAAATTTGCTAGGATTCACATTAGGTTTCTGAGGCAACGTAGCAAAAATATGCCACATTTGTTTTTTTTTTCTTTGTATCAGCCTTTGGGACCTGAGGAATTCCAGGTATGATATTTTTTAATGGATGTGCATCCAGAAATTTCAAGATGAGAGTGAAATGCTATCCCTCTTTGCTCAAAGATAGAGTGCCAACTAACTGGTCAAGAGCTCTGATGAAATTCATCTGTCAAGTTCAAATACCATTTTCTCTACTATCTGGGATAGCTGAACATCTGGCTTGCAATAGTACAATAAATTAAAGGCAATTTAAAGGCAAAGCAAATTCTCTGGTGTATTGAAGGGTGGGTCAAAGGCTGTTTGTACCYGAGGTAGAAAATATTCCTATTCATGTTGAAATCTTAAACTGTGACTTCTAGTCCTAGCAAGCAGAGGGAGACCATCATCAAAGTGCACCTCCATTGCTAYCTCCAAGGCTGTGGAATATAAAAGTAAGTGGCTTTCAGGACCCTGGCCATATAGCTCACTGACTTTAATTCACTTCAGGTTTGCACATAAAGAAGGGGGACAAGGTTGTACAACCAGTTGTTACAAGGATCTTGGGATTGATGGCCACTAGCACAAAGTGGCAGGACTCCAAACCCATGCTCAGGATGTCTTGGTGCTGTTCAGTTGTTCAGCCCTGAGAATTGAAAAAAGGCTCTGCAGCTAGTGAAGAGAATAGTCAATAGGAATCTCCTTCTGCCCCTGCAAGATTTATTACTAAAGTGTGGAGGGCAGTGTGAATACACGTTTCACAAGTGATGGAAAGAGAGTTAAGTATGAAAGAATGCTGCCTACCACTCTCTCCATCTCTCCAGTGTATAAGAAAAGAGTTTACATCTGGGAAGAGCTCAAAACTCAAAAACATCACTTTGTGCATATTTCAAGCAGGAAACAACGGAGGCTTAGTGAGCTTAAATCCCTGCTCATGGGTCCAGGCGGTAGCTGAGGTCCCTGTTGCTGGTGACTTTCCTCCCCATCTCTGGAAGCTGCCTTTCCATCACCATCATCACCTAAGTTAAAAGGCTCTGTTTTAAATATGGAATGTGTCCAATTCTGTTGTAATCTGGGCAGCTATGRATGAGTATTACTAAGACTCATTGTTGCCAGTGCCAGGAACCCTACACTTCATTGCCATCAATCTGTGTGGTTCTTGCAGTGTGGTCTAAGCACATTTATAAAGTGTCCCCACCAGGCACTGGGGAACAAAGAAATAGTTCAGTTTTAAAGATGTCCAAGAAATTATGGTTACATGAGGCACAGACTTGGGAACCAACTGATTCTGGATGCCCAGGGTGATTCTGGAGCGTACAGACAAGTTAGAGATAGCTGCTTGTGTCTGTGCATATATGTGTGTGCTGCATGTGTACATGTGCCTATACATGTGTGTGGGATGAAAAGGCTCTAGAATACAGTKGAGACTTATTCATATCTGGGGTAGATGAAGATCACCAGAATGTGCAGACCTTAAAGACCCTCCAGCCCTCCTTGACTACCTAGCCCTCCACATCAGCCAATGCTGATTGACACTCTTTGAGCATTCTGCTGGCTGACCATTTGGAGGGCTAGGTAGACAAGGAGGGCTGGAGAGTCATTAAGTATCCAGCGGTTACATGTCCAAAGACAGTTGACCTAAAGACTCTTATTTTTTAATTTTAAAAGAAAGAAGTGGAATCTATAGTCTCATAGATTAAAAAAAAAGTGTAAAGTGAAATCCCCAGGAGTCATCCTGTGCCAGTACTAGAAAGACCTGTTGATTTTCCAGGTGGGAACTCTGAAGATCAGGGGTTGAGTTCTCTGCCTGAGTTTTATGATATTTTTGCTTGAGACCAGAACTCGGCTCTCTTACGTGATTCTGCATACCAGTGAGATGCTCATATCACATAAAACTCTGGCTCCTGTGCAGAATCCTCAGGAGAGTGCCATCACCTGCTTTTACAGGCTCTTAGAGAGAAGCCAAGATCCAGGTGGCAGTAGGCACCTGGATCTGGGCTTCTTGCCCTGCCTCCTGGCCCTGCGTGGACCCTCATTAGTCTCCAAGCAGCTCCCCTGTACCCATTTCTGGAACATGTGCTAGCTGCCCTAGGAGACACTCAGTCATGACTTTAAGACTGTGAGGCTGAGAGGACCAGGGTGTTTTCTCTTAAAGACCTCTGCCAGGAAGCTGTGGGCACTTGCTCCAAGGATACTCTGAAATACAAAGGGGCTCACCCTTGGACTGTAATTCCCCCTCCCACCTGACATATCTTTCTGGCTCATCAGGACAGTCCCAAACAAACCTAAAAGTATCTTTTGCTAGGTTAAGCCAGGTGGGGGGTCTCCCAAAAAGCACTTCAGACCCTGTATAATCACATATTCTCACTCCAGATACCAACCTAAGTGTTACAAGTATTTTCTCAGCCCCTTGCTCTGCTTTTATCAGAGGGAAAGCTGCTTACAAGCAGCCTTTTCATTTTAGCAAAAAATAACCCACGCTTTGGTTAACCTACCAGACACAAAGTCACAGCCTTTTACTGTGTTCAGTCTGCATTTAATAGCTACATCYTGCTGATGTTTTAACTGAATGTCGATATTTTCAAATAGTGAGTGACAGAGCTGCTCCTCTTTCAAAATGTGGGCTGACTTCCCTCCACTCTGTTCTTTTCCTGTCCCCTCCCATTTTCCACCATGGTATAAATTGGGGATATAATGAGGTCTCACATTCCCACACCCAAGGATGGGGGGGGGACACATCATAGGAGCTAGATGTGATTTTATCCACTTCGTTTTTATTACTGACCTGGCTTTATGCCTTGTAGCAAACCCTGCAGCATGTCTTTACAAACCTTTTTCACTCACAGGAAACCTGCTACTAGCCCTGGATACCAATCTGGACACTTATGATTACAAGCAGGTGTCAGGTCAGGGGATGGTGGGGAGGTGGTACACAGAACAAGTGCCTCAGGCTGATGCACAGAAATCTCACTTAGCAACGGGAGCCCAGGAACAGGCAAAGGGAATATGCTTGGAAGTGTTCTTCCTTGCTTCTCTCTCTGCACATGCTAGATTCCCATCACAAGGCAAAAAGCCTGCTAAAAGCAAGGGCTACTGCCTGCCTCTACCTTTCTGATTCCCCTTCCAAGCAGTCACTGCAATAAGTCACACACAGGTGGCTATTACCCTATGGCCACCTCCTGCTTCCCATCCCTCCAAAAATAGACAGAGGCTCCAAAATGATCAACACCCTAGCCCAGTTCCCAGAGAAGTCCTACCCCCATTAAGGCGTTCTCCTGAAAGCCAGAGTCCTGGGGAGAGGGGAACAGTAGAGGAGTTCAGTGCCCTTGTGGATGTCACACACTGCTGGGAGGAGAGGGCTTAAGTGGGAACAGGTGGTTGTTCTTTAGGTGAGCATCCAGGAGGTGCAGTTGTTGGGCTGTACAGGTGGTGCAGTCCCTGAAAGAGGTGGCCATGCTGGGTGGAAGGTGAGAAGGGTCTTCAGAAAGTGGTGGTCCCAGTGAGGGCACCGTGCTTGCGGCTGGGTTCTGCTTGAACAGGCTCCTGCTGGCAAGGGAGTGGGGGGCATATGCATCCTGCCGCACCTCTACTCTTGAGAGCAGTGGCATAGTAGTCCAGGGGCTCTTCCTCAGCGCCCCCAGCAGCATCCAGGAGGCAGCAGCGCAGGCAGAGAACCCTCTGGAAGGAGCGACGGAAGTTGTCAGAGAGGAAGCCATAGAGAATGGGGTTGGCACAGCTGTTGGCATAGCTGAGGATGAGGGACACATGGTTGACAGTGGAATCAAGGCTGGTGACAAACAGGTTCAGGAGCTGTACCACATAGAAAGGCATCCAGCAGAGCACAAACACTGCCACTACCATCAGCACTAGTCTAGTGATCTTCTTTTCCGAGCGCCTCCGCTGCTGCCAGCCAGCCCTCAGTGCCACAGCTCTCATTTTGCCCACAATGAGCAGATAGCACAGGCCAATGGCCAGAACCGGCAACAGGAAGCCCAGCAAAAAGGTGTAGACCACGAAGACTGCCGACCAGGCCGGGTGAGGCCAGTGCAGGTTGCAAGCCACTGCCTGGCCGCCCCGAGCCGGCCTGGTGTCTGCGAAGACCGCGATGGGCAGGGTGACCAGCAAGGACGCCAACCACACTCCCAAGTTAATCAGCTTGGCCACACTAGGACGCCGATAGGTGGCGGCTCGCAAAGGGTGCACCACCGCGACGTAACGGTCCACACTGAGCACTGTCAGACAGAAAACACTAGTAAACATGTTGAGGCCGTCCACACTGAGCACCGCGCGGCACAACACCGACCCGAAGGGCCAGTGGCGCAGGGCGGCTGATGAAGCCACAAAAGGCACGCTCAGCATGAAGAGCTCATCCGCGATGGCCAGGTTGAGCAGGTAGATGTTGGTGGCCGTCTTCATTTTGGCGTAGCGAAGGATCACGAAGATAACCAAGGCGTTGCCCACCAGACCCACCAGGCACACTAGCGCGTAGATGCTCTGGATGGTGACCATGCCAGCCGTCCCGGTGCCGTCGGACCGCGTATCCTTCTCCTCCTCTGCCGGGACGCGACTAGCGTTAGCCGCCGGGGGCCAGGTGGTCTCGAGCCCTTCTTCGCCCCCGGGGGGCAGCGTCGCGGGGGCGCTCATGTCTGGGGATGCCCACCCCAGCGGCGGAGCGTGGCGGAGCGAGCGCAGCGCGAGAAACCGCGGGCGGCGGGACCCCGGGGTCTCGCGCGCAGACGCGCGGCTCTCAGCCTGCTCCGCCTAACCAGCAGGCGAGAAGCACAGCGCTGAGCGCCCGCCCATTCCCGCACCGCGCCCCAGGATTGCGGGAGCCGGGCTGGTCCCACTGCCTCCGCCAGTTCCACCACCTCTCAGCTGGAGCCCCTCTGAACCCACCGGTCCTGCGTGCCCCACGTTCCGCCCCGTAGCCCTTTCTGGGCCCCGCCCCGTTTTCCCACCTCTTTTGCCCTCTCTAGGTTTCCAGCTCCACCCCCAACCCTCGGATCTCTAGCCCAATCCCCAAATCCTCCTTTGGTTTTCCCTCTGTCACCATCGTGATCTCAGGTTGTGTGCTCCCCAACCCTTTCATTACTCTCTAGGACCTGCAGCTGAATGGGAAAAGATGAAATTAGGACCACGATGCTCCGTCCTGGACAGACCTGTAATTCACCACCAAGCCTGTAGGAGCCTCGGGTTCCTGCTCTATGAAATGGGTTTAACCATGGGACAGGTCTTCAGGAGAGTGAAAAGGGATGGATGTCTAGTGCAGATCTCCATTTGGCAAACGAGGCGTACAGGATGGGCCTGAAAATGCAGAGTTATTTGCCCTGAATTTGAGATCCTCTCTCCCTGCCCCTTTAATTTTCGGGAAGAACTGTCCCATGGTCAAAACCATTTCATAGAGGCAAAGCCAGAGGCCCCTACCGACGTCGTGGTCTGTTCTAGGTGGGCATAGGTGTTCCAATTTCCCCTTTCCTGCTGACCAGACAATTGTGGGTCCCTGCGTAGGGGGCTCTGACCTTTTCATTGTGAACTCGGTGGAGTTGAAGTAGGGTGACTAYAGGAAATGGAGATGCACATGCAGAAACACAGGTGCCCTCAAAGAAAGCAAACCCTACCTCCTCAGGTCTTCTGTACAYAGTAGAGGCAACAGGTACCAGAGCCTGAGAATCCCCACCTTGCACCAGCGTTGGGTCATTTGAGGGTCTTCAAACCAGGTCTCTGAATGTGCCTGAGGAGGAGGGTGGTCAGGAAGGGCATGAAGACCAGCATTGGTTTCCTCTGCCCCCAAACTCCAGTTTGAGCTCACTGGCACTTCCTGTTAGACAGGGACAGGCAGAGCCCCCTACCGCAGCTCTGCTGCTTGACACAGGTGCAGAATTGCTGAAAATGAGAAGTTTGCCATGGAAAATTTTTTCAAGGTAGAGCTGGTATTAAGGAACCTGGCTTTTGTTAACCGCACCTCTGAGGCTGTGGCCTCCTTGAGCCCCAGCACAGCCCCACCAAGACTTTGACAGGTTTAGAAGTAATTTCCTGGGTAGGGGGCTCCAGCTTCCTCCCTGGGTAGCTTGGGCAGCAATGGAGGGAACAGGGTCAGATGTTTTAGACATGGAGGTGGCCTTTCATAGAAAAGGACTGGAAGCTGCCCACTGCTCTTCATGGAGCCTTGGGTTGGGGAGCACTTGTGTGATAGCACTGTACAACACAATAGTTAAGGACAAACCCCTTTCAAGTTTCTGCCACACAAGGGACCCTTTGAATAAAGGTGGTCTAGCAGTGCTCCACCCTTTTATAATCACTCCTTAAGTATGTCTTTCCTTTCCTCTGGTCCCATTTACATCATGGCTCCTAGGGGAGATACTCTCACCACCAGGAAGGAGACAGCATTTGCATCAATCTAGGTGGTATTAATGTTTAGGGGAATGGGACAAGGGGAACTTCAGATTAAGGTAGAAGGAAGAGAACAGAGACTTTCCCCTTTAATGCTAGACTCTAGGGGAGACTCTAGACTGGCCCCTCTGCATAACACCTCTGGACCCAATGCAGAGATGCTGGGTCCCATCATCCTCAACTTTCCTCCTTTGCTGTCCTCTCTGCCCATTTAGCCCTCTCCCTTGCCTGGGAAAGTCTTTCCTGTTGTCCTGTCTAACCTGAGAATCCTGGGAATCTTTCCCATTTCTATTTCAGAGATTCCCTCCTAATGCTTCCCGATTCTGCTCCTTCCCCAACATATGCAAACAATTTGAGCAAAACAAGCAGCATTTAATAAGATAAATACATTACCATCTTACATGAATATTGGACCTGTGGGGTAAGCAATTCATGTAAATGAACTTGATGGGTAGAATATCATGAATTTACAAACATAGTATTTCTAGAGTCCTGGTGGGGGGGGGTGGAAGCTGAGCATTCATTTATGCACTCTGACAGTCAATAAATAATGATGTATCTGTCCCATGCCAAGAACTGCCATGAGATAGCATCCAAGGGAACATGTTGTACAAGGTGCCTCAGTATGAGAAAATGATCTTTTGCATGCAGTGCTGCTGGAACCCAGTGAAGGTCACCACTAACCCAATAGGCAAATAAATACAAGTGTCTGGGATCGCAGAGGAAGGGTGGGAGCATRTGGGAGCCACAGAAGGTTTCTCAGATAATGTGACAAAAGAGGATGATCATGGCAGTGAGAGCAAGGTGGACTCTGAAAAGGGAAGCTGGGCTGGGCACAGTGGCTCATGCCTGTAATCCCAGTAACTTGGCAGGGTGCTGAGGTAGGGAGAATTGCAGGTTCAAGGCAGGTTCAATTGCAGGTTCAATTTAGCAAGACCCTAAGCAATTGAGTGAGACCTTGTATTAGAAAGAAAGAAATAAAGAAGAAGAAAGGAGTCCCTAGGTATGAGTCAAAAAGAAGAAGAAGAAGAAGAAGAAGAAGAAGAAGAAGAAGAAGAAGAAGAAGAAGAAGAAGAAGAAGAAGAAGAAGAAGGAGGAGGAGGAAGAAAAGAAAAGGAAATCTTCATAGCAGATGTTATGCTGGGGCATGGGGAACAGGGTGAGGTGCATCTGCAATATGAGCTACCTGAAGGGTGCCAAGGCTACAGAGCSTGGAGGAGCCTTGTGTACCTTGTACCCTCTTCTGAAATTGGAGAAGTAGGGAGTATGGATGAGTTGTGTATCAGGGTCAGAAATGGAATCTGGCTCTGATGTGGTTTGGATAGGCAATGTCCCCCCAAAGTCCCTATGTTAATGCAGGAATATTCAGAGGTGCAATGTTTAGATTAGGAAGGCTGTGACCTAATTAGTCTATCCTAGTCTGAATGTTCTGACTGGGTTGTAACTGTAGGCAGGAGGGGCATGGTTGGAGGAGGTGGATCCCCTAGAACATGCTCTGGAAGTCTTCTTCCCTGTGCTCTCTTTGCTTCCTGGCTGCCATGAGCCAAGTAGCTTCTCTCTGCCATAATGTTCTGCCTTACTTTGGGCCCAAGGCAATGGATTTCATCAGCCATGGATTAAATCTCTCAAACTGAGAACCAAAAATACACTTTTGTTCCTCTAAGTTGTTCTTGTCAGGTATTTTGGTCACAGTGATACAAAGCTGACTGATATGGGCTCCCTGACTTTTGGCAGTGGATGACAGAGAATCTTTTGAAGTATGCACAAAGAGTCTTTTGGGGCCAACACAATATCTCAGGCAAGAACTACAAGCTTGTGCCCAGACTGCTAGACCAGGGCACACTCAGGGCATTCCTGGTGCATATTCTGTAGGCAGAGAGTACATATCATACGTAAGAAGGCTGTTTCGAGTGGTTTCAAACCCAGCTCCATTTCTTGTCAAGAGTGCAGCTTTGGGCAAGTTCCTCAATCTCCTCAGGCCTTAGTTTTCACACCTGAAAAGTGGGCATGATGGTTGCTACATGTTTGGGTCCTATGAGAATCCACCACACTGGAGAACACCTGGACCCTGGTCAGCACCCACTAAACATCTACTGTCCTGGTATTTCTTCTCTGTCCTACTGTGAATAGCCTTAAAAGAAGAATATGAATGATAGGAGTAAAGGTGGGGTCCCCCTGCCCACACATGTCTCCTAGACTGTTCTAATGTCTCAGTGTTTGGCTGTTTTCAGAGAGCAAAAGGTGAAGTGGAGGGGGTGGMCCATTAACAATACATCTTCTTTTGCTATTATTGTTTTTGTTRTTAGTTGTACATAGATTTCTATTTATAGACTTCTTAAATCTAACTTGTATTTAAACTAATTCTGAGACACAGGGGAGAAACACTAATAGTATCTCAACTTCATCCAAATAGTGAAGATAGAATTTGCTGTCACAGCCAGATTCTATTCCTTAACACATTCCATCATGATGGGTTATGCACAAACCTGATCCTTTGGGGAGTGAAAGTAGGTTCTATTAGCAATTGTGCTAAAAGGCTGAGGGTGTGGCTCAGTGGTAGGGTGCCCAGAGCATGCCCAGAGTCCTGGGTCCAATCCCCAGCACCAACTTTATCCCAGCAATCATGCTGAACCAACACAGTCAACATCTTGACTATTTCAGCCAAACTAAGACATATGGATGTTCTCATTATGGGAGACTTTCCACTTCCATTTTATTCATTTCCACATTAAGTAGTTGTTTATGAGTTTAATTTTTAATCAGAAAAAGAAGAGTTTGGAGTTGTTTAAATACTAGGTTAACTTCCAAGGGACTGATACTTTTCTCCAAAACATCATCTCCAAAGGGTTTTACAATAGTAAAGATGGAATGTGCCTTTCACTACAACACGGGAGCTGCTGGGGATTGTACTGAATATTCAAAGCTGAGAGTGGGGAATCCCCTGGTTTCAAAATACTCGCCAAAGACTTCAGTGTTCAAGAAGGAGCCAAGGAAAATGTTGAGATGTGAATCACTCAAGCAAGAGTGAATTTTCCAGAGATGGAGAGACCCCCCTCTCAAGATGGACCTGGAGGTCACAAGCTTCTAAGGAATACTATCCTGCTATCCTGTTCCCCTCAAGTTCTACCATGCCTCAAACTCTGAACAGGGTTAGGAGTGGGTTTCAGGGGTTGGGGAGGGTATCTTAGCTTTAAAAAAATTATTAAAATGAAAAAAAGTTGGTTTTATACCAAGGTTTCCTGTCCTCGACACAG